ACCTCAACCCATGAATCAGCACTTTCAATTGAGTTTATGTAGGTACATTTTTTCCTTAAACTAAATTTTTAAAAGTGTTTCTAACAGCTAATTTTCTGGGTTTTTTTCCCCATTTTATTTAATGGAGAAAAAAAAAAAAACATAGATGTTTCCTCGGATTTTTAAAGGTCTCAGAAAAATAATTCAAACTTCAGAAACAAATGGACAGAGGCTACAAACAATCAAATTACAGAAGAAATATAGATGGTAATTAAACATGACAGAATGCTCAACTTACTACTTATTAGGAAAGTGTCAATTAAACATGATACTACTTTTACCATCTGACCGGAAGAGATTAAAAAGGGTAGCAATATCTAATTAATGATGGCAAAGATGTAAGAAAATACTCATATCCTGTTGGATGGAGTATAATTAATAGAGCAGTTTTTTGGATGGCAATTGGTGGGATGTGAAGTGCCTGGCACTTTACGTAAGTTTTGAGTTACTCAAAATTGAAATACTGTGACATCACACTATTAATGAAGTCTCATTTCAGGACAAATGTTGAAATAATATAAACCACCCAATTTAAAGATCTTTCAAGAATAGCATCATTAGAAAGTTGGCATAATTGTAAAGGTCTAATGCATTGTAAACGGTGTCTGTGCTGCATCTCACGGCAGTGCCACTAGAGCTGGTTAACAGAAACACCATCTTTTGTCAGGTCAACTTTGAATTTTACAAGCTTTTCAGGAATTCACCCCTCAAAAAAAATCTATCAAAATTTATAACTGGCTGGCTGGTTAGCTCAGTTGGTTAGAGCACAGTGTTGTAACACCAAGGTCATGGGTTTGGATCCCTACACCAGCCAGCTGACAAAAATAAATAAATAAATAAAAATGTATAATGTACATATCTTTGGACTTAGTGATTACATGTGTAGAAATCTGTGCAGATATATATGTCCCAGAATATACCTAAATACTTTGGTAAGAACAGCAAAACCTGTAAACAATCTGAAAATGCCCATCAATTGAGGATTGTATATTTGTACAGCAGAATACCATATACTCTTGAAAAAGGACAGGGCACTTCCTCACGTACACTAACAGAAAAATGATCATCAAGTATTAAGTGCAAAAACAAGCTAAAGAACTAATGATAAAATTTGATTCTATTTTTGTAAACATACTCACAATCCAAACAGAATTTAAATGCAAATGAAACTATTTATAGTGGTTATCTCTGAGGAATAAAGCTTGGAGGAAGACAGAAAGAATTTTCATTTTTAAATTTAAAAAAATTGTAATAGCTAGAATTTATTGAGTACTTATTATGTGCCAAGCAAATTCTAAGCACGTTATTCAATTAATCCTTATAAGAACCCTATGTGGGGCCGAGCCCGTGGCGCACTCGGGAGAGTGCAGTGCTGGGAGCGCAGCAGTGCTCCTGCCATGGGTTCGGATCCTATATAGGGATGACTGGTGCGCTCACAGCACTCACTGG